TACACTTATCGAATCTGTAATAAATTTGTTGAAAACCACTGTAAATTTATGGAACCCACTATGAACTAGTCGAAATTTACTATAAATTTGTTGAAAACCCCTATAAATTTATCGAAACCCACCACGAACTTGTCGATATCCACTCTAAACTTATCGAAATCCACTGTAAATTTGTTGAAATCCACTATAAACTTATCGAAATCCATAAATTTATCGAAATCCATTGTAAATTTGTTGAAATCCACTATAAATTTATCAAAATTCACTACAATTAGTCAAAATCCGTGTATAGTGGATTCCACTTTGATAAATCTGCTGGATTTTTTTTTAAATATTAAAAAAAAAGAATTAAAATTTTTAAATCGAAATATAAAAAAAATTAATAAAAAATAAGTAAACAAAAAAATTTGTATTAAAAAAAATGGCAAAAAAAATTGAAATCAAGAAAAAAAGCACCATTAAAAAACGAAAAAGAAATATAAGACTATTTTTTTTAAAATCAAAATGAAAAACATGAAAAATATAAATAAGAAAAAAATAATTTAAAATCAAAACTGAAAATACAAATAAAAAAAATATAAAAAAAAAAAAATAATCAATATATATGTTTGAATCGAAATAAAGAAAACTATTAAAAAAGTGAAAAGAAAAAGGAAAACAGAAATTGACTTGAGATGGGGAGAAATTAATGGGATTTGCATATTTAAAAAAAAAAGTAATTGATTTTCCATGATAAGTGATATAAGGGTATAACAATGAAAATTAATTATTTTTAGCTTAATTCCACTTTGCACCCTTCAAATATACAATTTTGACCCTTTGCACTCTCAAAACAAAATAATAGCACTTTGCACCCTCGAAACACAATAAATCATGCATAATGCTAAAACTGTAATTTAATATTTTTAGTGATATTTTTTAGGATGCCAAATTTCAAATTTGCTTTTTATTCATCAATCATTTTGAAACTATAAAGTGCAAAAATAAAAATATATTTCATCAACATATTTAAAAAGTATTTTTTTTTTATCAAAATAAAATATTTTAAGAAAAAAAAATTATTCACCTATTCCGTTATCAAGTTATCTGAAAATCATATTTTCTTCCAAATATTTTTACCTATTATTTTCAACCAGTTACAATTAAAAATCCATTAATCGAATAATTTAGTGATAAAAGCTTATTTTATTTTATTTTTGTAAGAAATTGTAGTTTGTTATCAATAATCCGATGTAATTTTTATTTTTTCGCACTTTGTCCGCTTGAAATTATGTTGGAGGTTCAAGTAAATAACAATTTATTTTTTTATTTTGCACCCCGAAGAAAATACAAATGAAAAATAAAATTGCCTTTATTATTCAATTCAGGGTGCATTGTGAATGATTTATTGTGTTTTGAGGGTGCAAAGTGCTATTATTATTTTTCAAGAGTGCAAAATGTCAAAATTGTATATTTTAAGAGTGTAAAGTGGGATTAAACCATTATTTTTTATTAATTAAAAATATTTTGAACTTACCTTAAAAATCTGATTTTTTTTGTGATTGTTACTACACATGTCTAATAAGGGGTTATCAAAATTTCTCATTTTATATATATAAAATTTTTGTTGGGGACCCCTTGGGTTGGGGGGGCCAAAGCAGGTGCTTGTGTGGCATAGCATAGCACTAGGGCCGGCACTCTCCGATTCACATGCACGTCGATTTCCAACAATACATATTTCGGAAGATTGACCTTTCTAAAGAGTTGATTTTGGAGACGGGATTGTTTATTATGAGATTTATTGTATAATTAATTACATGACTAATATTAGTTTAGTAAAATAATTAGTCAAAATAGTATCGTGGTTATAGGATACTTATTTAGTTGCTAGTAGCGAGTTAGTGTTCCCCTAAATTAGGATAAGTTTGTTTAGTTGTTTTCTACTTAAGTTGTAGTACTTTGATTACATTAAATGAAAAACACCGTTTATCGGTTATTCCAACATGATATCACAGCTTGAATCCTGACCTATGATCCAAGATTTTTATTATGTAGAGTTTTACATGTCTTCTCTATCTGCAGCACCTCTGTTTTTGTGAGATTAAAAAAAAGAGAGAAAGATTGAAAGATATATACATATATATATATATATATATATATATATATATATATATATATATATATGATCGAGGGAGAGTGATTCAAAACCCTCTAGTTTGGCGAGAAAGTTTCGCAAGAAGAGAATGAATAGTAGATTTCTACAGTTCATGCTCGAACTTCGTGGTCCATCTCTCTCGACAGGGCGGAAATCTTGGCAAGAAAAGTTACAAATGCTCCACGTTTCATAAGTAGAATCTAGGATTCAAGGCGGAAGCTTTGGGTGGCCGACGACAACACCAAGCGCTCGGAGGAGCCGAGCCATACGTGGTTGTTGATACCCATTACCCGGCCCGCAATGGAGCACAATTGGAGCTGCAGCAAGTTTGATAAGTTCTTGAATAATAGCAACATGCAAACCTCGATTTTTGCGGCGAACACTCGGTTATCTAGATGATGCGTCTTCTCAATTTCAAACGAGGCAGAGCGACCTGCTACAACTCGGTGAGAGCAAGAAGGCAGATTGCTCTTTGAGATGTACGTGGAAAAGATATGGAGGAAAGGGAGCACGAAGGGCTTACAGCGGAGACATATACCCGATTAGAGATTGCACGGGCAACCGCTTCATGACAAGGAAGTCTGGTTAAGTCCAAAAGATTTGGTAGTAGATGTCCCAAATATCTATAAGCATTGCTTGCGAAAGCAATGCAAATCAGACTATTTCAAGCGGTGTCGAGGCGGCCCAATTGATTGTCGGCTGCAACGGGTGGTGGAAATTTTGACAAAATTAAAGCCACACAAACTAGATGGTTGGATATGGGGCGATGGAACTGTTTTCGGCATAGGAAAGCATGTTTGGTGGTGCATCTGGTCAGACCTGGTAGATATCCTTGGTGGCATGGCAGGCCATTCAAGAAGGTCTTGAAGAGAGACAAAATCCCGAACAAAAAAGAAAAGAAAGAGAAAAAGGAGAAGAGGTGAAGGAATGCCGAAATCTTGAAAAGAAAAGTAATGATTTGGCGTCTAGGATTGGATGAATTTGAATCCTTACTATTCTTTTGCTGAAATCAGTGAAAATTGACGGAGCCGTCAATCAGTGAAGATTGACGAGTTGGAGTGTTTGAGGCATTGATTCTCAAATGTGAGGAATTTGATATATGTTCTTTCGCAAAAAAATATATTGAATCAGAAGAATCTCATTGTAAACTGTTTTCTGCAGAAATAAGTTTAAGGGAGTGTGTTAAAATATGAGATTTATTGTTTATTTAATTAAATAATTAATATTAGTTTAGTAAAATAATTAGTCAAAAATAGTATTCTATGATTATTGGATACTTAGTTAGTTGTTAGTAGTGAGTTAGTGTTCCTCTAAATTAGGATAGGTTTGTTTAGTTATTTACTATTTAAGTTGTAATACTTTGATTACATTAAATGAAAAATGAGTTGAGGGTAAGAAGAAGGAATATCCTATAAAATCTTAGAAGACTTAAAACAAAAAAGAAAAAGGAAAAATGAAAATGTCAATATTTGAAAGAAAGTTAAAGTAGAGGGATGTGTAGCAAATTAAATTTTATTTTTTCTTAAAAAAGTAAAAATGTATATCATTAGATCCGTATATAAATGGAAAAGAAAAAGTGATTCCTGTACAAAAACAAAAGTTTGTTAAGCTATGCGTTGGCATGATCGGTTTATATCCTGGCTTGTGGACGGGGCCAGCTCAGATTATCACGTGATCATTCTAGCTAGATGCTTCACAATGTTATACTTATTGTGTTCTTCATTTTAATACTTATTATTTTATTAAATAACAATAATCTTTTCAGGGAGATTCTCAAATTAAATAACTAATTTCAGATTTTGTTACTTTTCAATTTTTTGTTTCTTCTGTAAGAAATTAAAGCTAATTTAGGGTAACCGATTGATACTTGATATTCTGACCCTTGGAGCTATTTAATCAATTTGAAAACCCTTACATAACTAACTAAACAAAATATTTAAAATTAATTCACCCTTATTTTTTTTTTAAATTTCAATTATTAGGAAAATTTTGATAATTCATCAAAATAATCTAGAAGTTTAAATTTATTTGCCAATATTCTAACTCATCTATTGTTTGTTTACCACTGATTTTTTTTTTTCATGAAATACATCAAACACCCCCTACTTAAAAAAAAAGAACATATTCTAAATTTAATATAAAATTTAGAGTAAATTACGGTTACTCCTCTGAGGTAAGATCAAATTACAAAAAAAATCTCTCATGTCCGGGTAATTACAACCACTCATTTAACTATGAATATTCTTATACGTCCACCGTTACAGTGTTAAATTTAGTGGAATCTTCTAGATTTTGAGGAACATTCTCCAGTTTGTACTCGTCTTACCCCATTCAAGCTCCTCATTTTGAAACAAAATGATCATAAAATTTGTCTATTGACTTGTAATTATCATATTGTGGTGCATTAGAAACTGTTTTTTTGCACAAAACAAGTACAAACTAAAGAACATTACACAGAATAAAAAAATTATGTTGAATTTTACTCGATAAAAATTGAGTAATTTTAATTATCCAAAAACTAGAGTTTTTTTTTTTCTTCATAATTTGACCTCACTTGAAGAGTGAGTGCAACTTACCTTAAAAATTATTAGAAAGCCCACCCAATGTTTCCACGTAAGAGAAAAATGATTAGAAGATAATTGGTGTTAATTAAATATAATATTCCGACACATCACACACCTCTGATTTTGTATGGTTGAAAAATCTGTACCCCTCCCATGTACAAAGACCATTGTCGTCTGACTAATGAATGGGTCACAGCCCATTCCCACACATTAAGACCCTCTAATAAAAATAAATTAAAATAATTCCAACTATTTCAAAAAAAAAAAAATAACTGTACCCCCTATACAAAGTGCCCAAATAAAAGAGCCGTTTCTCTCTCTACTCTCTCTCCTCTTTTCAACACACTCATAACTCATTACACTCTCTCTCTCTTTATTCTGTTATTATTACTTCATCCTCTTTCCCCTTCTCCTCCCATCTCCAAACTAATTATGTAAAGCCACCAAAAGCAAGCAAAAAAGGCTTTCCTGTAAAGAAAAAAAAAAAAACAAACTTCAAAGAAAAAAAAAAGAGCTTGTGCCGAACGAGAAATGGCAGCAGCTGCCATTACTTCAGTGTTGCTAATCAGCATTTGCTTATTACTTGGCTGCGCTTTTGCGGAAGATCCTTTTGTTAACTACGATTTTGTAGTTTCCTACATCACTGCTTCTCCGCTCGGAGTTCCTCAACAGGTCTCATTTCTTACACTAACTCATAATCAATGTGTGCTGCTTGCCTCCGAGCTTCCAGATCTGAGAATATTTTTTTTTTTTTTTTTTTTTTTTTTTTATAAAATTAGAAAATAAATGTGGTTCTTAAAAAGTTGAGCAACTTTATTCTCAAATGGGCATATGATTCTTGAATACTGATGCAGGTAATTGCTGTAAACGGCAAATTCCCAGGCCCCACTATTAATGTGACAACCAACAACCATCTTGTTGTCAATGTGAGAAACAAATTAGATGAAAATCTCCTACTCCACTGGTATATTTGAATTTGAATTTGAATTTTTTCTTTTTTTTTGTTTTTTTGGAATGGTGAGAAAGATATTGAATTTGGTTTTGTTTGGGGTGAATTAGGTCTGGAATACAGCAGAGGAGGAGTTCATGGCAAGATGGGGTACTCGGAACAAATTGCCCAATCCCTCCGAAATGGAATTGGACTTACCAATTTCAAGTCAAGGACCAAATTGGAAGTTTCTTTTACTTCCCTTCACTCAATTTTCAGAGGGCTTCCGGCGGTTTCGGCAGCATTATCGTTAACAACAGACCGGTTATCTCTATCCCTTTCGACACCCCGTATGGTGACATCACTGTTGTGATCGGTGACTGGTACACGCAGAATCACACGGTCAGTGTGTGTCTGTGTGTGTGTGCGCGCACGCACGCTTTATTAACAATTTAATATTTAGCGAGGCTGATTGGTGTTTACTTGTTTGTTATGTTTTAGGCATTGCGGAAAACTCTTAATGCGGGTAAAGAACTTGGGATGCCGGATGGTGTTCTTGTTAATGGCAAAGGACCTTACAGATATAATGACACTCTTGTCCCTGCTGGCATTGACCATGAAAAAATTACGGTCGAACCAGGTGCGTAATAATATCCTATGTTATTGCTATCACCGATTTGAGTTGACTTGTTGGTAATGTGGTTCTTGTTTATATATATATGTTTACGTATTCAAGATCAAGTTGAATGTTTAGTGTAACAATTTTTTGAAGAAGGTGTTGATATCTAGTTACCTATTATGGAAGTAGTTGAATATGTTAAAAGATTAGGGTTTATTGCAATTAGTACCTTTTTGGTATATCGAATCGCTAAAAAACTACTCCATGTTATTTTATTGGCAAAAACCCCTAATCAGGAATACTAATTGCTAAAAAAAAATAAATAATAGGGATTTTTTTGGCAATAAAATAACATGGGGTAATTCTTTAGCAATCCGATATAATGCAGGGGTACTAATTGCAATAAACTCTAAACAAATATAGCAACATAGAAAGATGAAACTTGCCAATTGAAAATAAAGTGCAATCTTGTACATGTATTTATTAATATTTAAAATATTTTTGCAGGCAAGACTTACAGGATTCGAGTGAGCAATGTTGGAATATCGACGAGTTTGAACTTCAGAATACAGAGCCACAACTTGCTACTAACAGAAACAGAGGGGTCTTACACTGTACAGCAAAACTACACTGTGG